TGGGCGGGCGGAAGATCACCTGCCTTTTAAAGGTCTATCTTAGTACCCAGAGGTAGCTCAGTAAGAGACAGGACTATGCCAGGATGGGTTGCCTGCACAGGTGTGACTTAAAAACTTTGAACGATAGTCTTTTGCCGACTGTATTGCATGTTTTAGTAGCTTGGTTCATTTTTCCCCTTATCGGAGAGGGGTGTCAAGTATCCGAAAATTACGGGGCCGAGGAGTTGTTGAGATTGACAGGGAATTATTCTTATTACATCCGCTCGGTACAAATCCTGCTTATGCACTTATAATTGAAACTATCTCCCGGAATTGATGTATGTTGAGAACAACAAAACCTTTGCCAAGTGTGAGACCGGATCAAGCTTCCGTTGTCTAAAACCAGTGGTGTCTTTATCTTCGGCTCGTACACATAGATTTGGTGCAAGATTACCATGTATATCAGCGTGCGCTGAGTTGCTCTCGAACCTTAGCAGTGAGTGCTGTGCAACTGATGTTGAAATCGGATGTGATTTATAAATTTTGCTTGTCAGAGTCGCGTGAATATTCCTGTTGCCAAGGAAGTTGGGTTCTCTACTATTTCTTGAAATCGTCCCTGAAAGGCGGCCTCTCTTTCTTACCCATTCAGATTCACGACTTTTAAAATCCATTTTGATCTATTCACCGGCGTTTTCCCATTCTTCAAACCTTTTCAGCGGGTTTATTTTAAATACTCATTATTCATTGTAGTGAGGCCTTTGTTCGGATTTCTCGCGTGTCTTTGCTGATACTTTCGTGTCGGTTAGATTACTCACAAAATTTCTGCCTCTGCCGAAGTCTCTGAAAAAGAATATATTAGTCATAAATTGCTCGTTCTGGTGGATATTAAATAGGCTAAGGAGTATGTCGGTTACTTTTTAATTCACAGTCGGCGCCCGGGAGATTTTGTTTCTCAACAACAATGTCGCCAGGCTTACGAAACAATAGTTTCCTCTCGCAGCCGTTCTTTGTCTCGGGATCCCTGTGTCTCCTACTGAGCAAGGACAGACGCAAAATGATACGAAATTATGTACGGGTCGGATTTTAATAAAATGAAGTGACCCTTAATTCAAAGACCGACTGGCAGACAGTGAGGCTTTATTTGTATTAACTTGCAAATTTAGAGGTTGAGGAACAAACGAAAATTACTGAATAAACACAGAGGGAAGTTCACATTAAAACACGAGGCAGTTGCAAGTAAGGTTACCTTCGAAACAACTTTCAGGTTTGTTTGAAAAGCGTAGTTGTTTACAGGAAGTACATATGAATCACCGTGGATACCGAAAGTCAGATAGTGCAAGACTCTTGACAATAAACCAGCTTAAATTCTGTAATCGTTGAGACAAGACCCGCCATGATGATGACAATAAAGGGCAATGCCTTATCAAGTTATGAACAAACATCGCAGGTACACTAATTTTCAACGGAATGAAAATACGGAAAAATAAAAAAAAAACAACAACTCAGCAAAAGATGTTGTGATAAGTTACCTTGGTTTCAGAGTTTTCTGATAATAATTTTTTTGGAAAGCAAATATTATTCCATCTTTCAAGTTTGTTACTGAGTAAAATGAACTTTAGACGATGTCAAATTGATAGCTGGGTACAAGGTTTACCTTCGCCGATTATCGCCAAAGTGATACCTTAGAAAAGTTTCTGTCACTTTAACTAAACGCCCTTTTAGTCTGGTTTTCTTTCGTTCTAACAACGATTCGATAAGAAAGATTGGATGATTTCATTTAAAGATTTATTCTATCCCTGCAATTCCTCTTCCTTTTCCACCTGCCCGTTTACACAATTAGGGGCAAAATAGAACAATTTTTAACTAACGAATATATATTTACATATGTTACCTCATTCTCATGCAAATGTATTTCGAATTTTCTGCTCGCACGATAAAACTTTTACTCTTCTCGTGCTCTCTCCATTAAGATCAGGAGTTATTTCATTACCTAACGAATATATTTTTGTTTTGTAAGACGCGAGCGGTGTCAAAGTCCATCCAGTCCCCAGAAAAAGCGACGTCAAATCAATTATTGTTATCTTGGCACGTGGATTCAACGAAAACGCTGGTCGACAAGACTTCACGTTTGCAACATTAATTTCACCGCGTGGCTCATTCAAACAGATGTAAATTGCGGCGAGATATCAAGCAGCTTAGCTCTCAACAAACTGAACTTTAGCAGAGAAATGTTTGTGTTATTGAGCCTCTTGGTGGGTGCTGTTTTGCTGCAGCCTATTTGTGTTGTCTCCAAAGGTGAGTGCAGAATACGTATTGTTAAGTGTAGCTATAAGGTTTCGCTTTAGTGTTTTCCACGTTGTAGAGAGTCAACAAGGATAGCTATTAACCGAGTCATTACTATTTCATTCTAAAGAAGTGGCGAGAAGGTCGAACAGTGCCGAAATCGCACTTGTCAGAAGAAACCTCAATTCAATCTTGCTAATATACTACCATCATTTCTCGAATTTGGCAACAAAAACAACAAATTTGCGTAAGACATCAATGAAACGCGACGGCTGGTTTACTATTGATCGTTGATTTATTTTGATCGTTGCTTCGTTTGGATGCCTTTATTTAAGCATTCATCGCGTCCTCTGGGAGATTTATTAGCAAATTTAATACTAGAGCTTCTTCGTTGGGTGACTGTTTATCTAAGTAACCTCGTTTAGAGACGCAGGATCATTCACTCAGGCATTGAACAATAAACGAGTGACGCAACGTACTCGAAATATTTGGCGGGCTTCCAAGCAGATCGCATGCGAAGTTAAAAACCGTCTGAATGGCACTTGCTTGAGACTGATTGATTGCTTCTCCAAAAGCGATCAAATGTTAGTCAATGTTTTAATTTTCTACTTATGGTTTCCAAACTTATCTTGACATCTCTAAAACGAATAGGAAATATTCATCACCAAATAACTGCAGCGCAAAGGCAAATGCGTATGATTTCAAATCGGAAAGAAAGAAAGTTGTAATGGTTAACAGACGGAGGTTTCAAAGAGCCGACTAGTTTAGCGTGATTACAGCAACACGGACATTTTTTCTTCGATAGTCTGGAAATGGCGAGGTTTTATGCCCAAGTGGACAGGTGAACACTGAATGTCCATTTTACAAATCGCAATTTACGATTCACCAACGTTTTTTTCTTTTTTAAGAACTGTAAAACTCAATTCCCGACTATTTATTCGATAAGCACTCGAACAGGCTGACGCAGCGCTAGTATAGCCCGAGGACCAAGGATAACTCCTCATCGTATTTATATGCAAATTTAAAAACTAATAGCTACATCATTAATTTTTAACCGAAAACCCCAACCTTCAAGGTGAGCACGAGTGGAGGATTCTTAGATGGGAAAGACTGCAAAAGTTCGCACATACTTAACGAATTCATTTTCATTTTCTGCAGAATAAAAGCCCGACTTGACTTGTTTGTTCCTTGACTTGTTTGTTTACAAGCCTTTACGACGCCTAACTAAACAAGAATTTAGTCAAATAATAAACACTATCGAGGCTTTAAAATATTCTTTACCATCGAGGGTTTATTGTTTCGCGTGGTCAAATCAAAACATTTTTACGTAACGATAATCTAGTCAAATAACGATAGCTCTTTGTATCTATAGTAGAGATACCATGACCTAGATGTTTTTAGATCTTGCCCTTCTTTCAACTGTTGTGTAATAGCAGCCCCTGTAGACGTTTCGTGATGATGCATTATATAATAATGTCGCCCACCCTCCCGTCCCTAATACCCGCCTTTTACATTCTTCCCAATCCCCCCTCCTCTTCCCCAGGGCTTGCTTCGCAGGCTAGGGTTTGGCGGAGAGAAAAGCTTATGGCTTGCTGTGCGACGACCCGACTGACGACATCAAACCACAGAAGCGTTGTGTGACACAAGATGTCTAGTAACAGCAATGTACTGAGTGACAAACACACATGCCTATGAATTCCGTAACATTTTTTTTAAAGATTAATAAACGACACCTATGACCATGCAAGGAGCGAATGATCATGGAATTCTGTAGGTTCTTTCAATGAGTGATGGGTTTTTTTTTTTTGCCTTAAATTAAATGCAGTTGATTGAAGACCGAAAATATAAGCTGAATTATTCACGCATTATGATTGGTTGTTACTTGTAACCTATTGGAGAATAGACGCATACACGTCATCAGCATCGAAAAAACGTTGCTTTTTTTAATTATATAAAACAAATATAAACCATACTCTCGAGGGTCTGTACAGTCATCGTTTACAGAAGACGTCATCAGTGACACACGAGGTATAGTTAATACCACACTTTGACGTCATCTGTGATATGCTCTGAACAGGCGAACGGCAACATATAATATGAATATCAAAGCGATATTCGCAGTTATGAGCACTACTTGTGCAGTGGTGTTATGTAGTTGTTTTCAGGCCCTATTTTCATTACTGCTCAACTAGTGTTCATTAATGCGAAAATCGCTTTGATATTCATTTCTTAACCCGCAGTTCAGTTACATGATTTTCATATATTCACAGTCATTTAACATGAAATATCTTTGTTAAATAGACACCTTCCTATTTTTGATCAACATAGGAAATATGGGTACCATTTCTGACGAAAATTATTTTTCTTACCCTAACAGGTATACCTGAAATTATAAGTAACGGGACGGCTGTTTCTACCAAGGAGGACGATATAGCACATTTCACGTGCACGTCGCGTGGGGATCCCAGTCCTTTCCTTCGATGGGAGCGAGATGGAGTAACGATTAAAGATACAGATGAGGGGGTCGCTGTTTTGAAAAAGAGTAATGCCACTCTAGAAGAAAGTCATTTATTTGTCGCAGTTACTGACAGTGAGAGACGTGGAAATTACATTTGCGTGGCAAGAAATGCGGAAGGAGAAGTAAAAATGACATTCACCATTGACGGTACATATAAATTAAAGTTTATTTCGATGTTAGAGAGATTAAGCACCATGTTTACATTAAACGGCAAACTTCAGCTTGCCCTTTCACGTTTCACGTAAAAATAGCGTGAACCCTGCTGCTTTAGTATTAATAGGAACCTTAAGCAGTCAGGAAGGCAACGCCAAGGATGACGTCGATTAAAAAATGAATTTCTACTTTTAATTAGAATTTGGAAAATGGCTGCATGTGTTTACCATCTCATACGGTGCCACAACTCAACCTCAGCATAACGCATAAAAGTAGCGTTGAGTTGCAAATCGAAATTGAAATAATTTGCCGTTGCGGTTTCGGTTCGCAGACGACGCAAATTTTGCTGATTTCACGTTATCGTTTTGCAAAGGACGGCTGAGAAATGTACTAAGTTTTAAAATGCACGTGCAGAGCTATTGTTCTGCTAATTAGACCTATTGTTTTTTTTTCGTTCTCGTTGCAGTCGCCGTCGCCGTCGCCGTCGTGGTTTGCTTGAGGTCCCTAGTATCTGAACGACAGCGCACTTACCCCTCCTCTAACCCAACAACGATCAACTGATAGCAAGTCAGGGTCAATGTCGGGTTAGGGGAGGGGTGGGTGCGCAGATAATGATATTGATCCGACATCTTTATCATCATCATCGACCTCGTTACCGTGATGGATATCTGTGGCGTATTTAATACATTAACAGTGTGTAAACTCCGGATTACAACTCACACATGGCAGGAAATCAAAACTCAACCAACTCGATCGCACAACCTTCTAGTTATGTGACGACTTTACTAGTTCCAGGACTCCACAATATCTTGATCTTCATCATCACCTGTCCTTTTCACACCATGTATTTTTAGACTTTACACCCTAACATCAGTATGTACCTTCTCCATACTGTTGTTTATACATTTCCTGAGGTGCGGACAGAGAGAATTTGTTTAACAATTCAGAGCTCCTTAAGTTGGTGATCATTTCCTTTATTCTCCTGACCTTAATGAGTGGTTCAGGGTAATATGTTTGGAAAAAATTAGTTGTAGGGTTAAAGAGAGTTTGTATGCTGTTTTCTTATTCTACAGTGTGCTTGTTGGCCTGTTTAACCTGAGTAGGTTGAATCAAGGATTGTTGACAAGTTTTGTATTACATATGCTTATTTTTGTCGTTGTTGTTTTTTTTATTTCAGAATACCTCCAGGAGGGACTTACATCGACTGACAAAGCTGCCATTGGTATATCAATTGGGTTAACGTCGTTCTTTGTGATTTCCATTGCGATTTTATTGAAGCGCGGATCAAATCAGATGAAGAAATCTGACCGGAGGCAAAGAGCAAGAACCTTATCACAATCTTCCCACTCTTCTCTGGTAAGTGAAGAGAAACTTTGTCCTCTACACCCTAGGATCAGTCAGTATTCATATTCTCCATACTGTTCTCTATACATTTCCAAAGGAGCTGACAAGGAGAATTTGTTTAACAATCAAGAACTTCTGATCATTTCCTCTATTCTCCTGACCTTAATGTGTGACTCAGGGGTGATATTGTAAGGAGAAATTAGATGCTAGTCACTCTTAGGAGGTCAAAATGTTAAAGAATGTGTACATGTTATTGAACATTTTGGTGTTTAGTGACGCTGAGTATTTTTACGAGCTGAGCAGTGTTTTGGCAAGCTCGCAGTAAAAGTTAAAATACGAACGATGAATAAAAATAACCAGCGATGCTACGCACTAAAACGTTTGATAATTTGTTTCTTAACCAACTGCTTTATTTTCTTAATGCAAGAAGAAAACAACTAAAGAGAGACCATTTATTAAGTATTCTTAATGACCATATAAAAGTTATTGTGGGCTTCGAGGTTCGTTACTGAAAAAATCAAGAATAAAAACGGAAAAGAAATCAAAGATAGTGCGGATTGTTCATGTCCGTATTTTGTTTTATTCTACGGTGTAATACCGTGTCATATTTTGCGCATTACATTGCCCTAACATAGTAAGATGACGTAATAATGGAAAAATAATTACATACATACATACATACATACATACATACGTTACTTGAGCACTCCCCCATAGGGCTTTTCAGGGCCAATCTTACACCCACCCATCCCATCCTGGGGGAGGACATCCCCCACACAGTAATCTCGTGCGTGGGAAATTAACGTCTCCTACCCCTAACCCTGCAGAAGACGGGACCTACGGTTTATTCGTCCTTATACGAGAAGACTAGAATATCTATCCATTTCTTGATATTATAGAAAGGAAGCACAATCATTTTAAGACCCTGAGTGTTGGTCCGGCCGGGGCTCGAACCCTCTACCTCCCGCACAACAGTCCGGAACTCTACCAATTGAGCTAACCAAAAGGCGGTTTAAAGTTTAAATGAAATAGATAGAAAAACTTGGTGAACACGGGGTATGAGAGGTTCTTGATGGTTGATGGTTTTTTCGCCTAACGGCTAATTTAGTTGGCCTTTTCACGGCCAATGGTTATCCTATTGACGCCATCGTATAAGACTTGAGAGTTAAAAGAAGTGGTTGCTATGGGTGTTGCTGGAATAGTCTTTCCTAACGAATTTAGTTGCTGAGCAACGCGTTGAATATGGTTTTCGAAACATCATGGTTCCGTTAACTGTCAGGTGCGGCAGACCTCTTTAATATCTTTATTTTTCACCCCTAACGTTTGGGTCTGTTCTACTTTTTCAGAGCGGTGCGGAAAGCATTGCTTTAGTGCACTCCACGCCAAATAATGATGACGATAAAGAAATAAGAGACGGTGCAGCAGCCAACCATGATCCTGAACGTGATAGACCTGCAAGTCTTGATTGCACATCGTCAGTGTGAATTAAAAGACAAGTAAATACGTGTTAAATATTTAATGTAACGACAAAGCTTTCACGAAGTTTTACTCAAGCTAGGCATAATGGGCATATCGTTCGATGTAAGCGTAGCAATATTCGCTTGGTGATTGAAACTAGCGCTTTCGCCTATCTCGTTGGTTTTGTATTCACCCTCACTAGGGTGGGGTTTCTGATTAAACCCAAAGAGTACAATCGTTAAACTTAGCAAAGACAAACAAAGAAGAGGGTATTTTCCTTGCCTGTTTTCTCTTCTTGGTTTCGCTAAAACTCCTTTAGCGTTTTGTCTCCGCCGCAATTTTTTTTATTTGAAATAGGGTTTCTCGTGCATGTGTAGGTTTTCATTTGCTACGTAGTTCAAAACCGATTATACAACAATTGTCAATTGGTTGTAAAAAGTAATCTGAAATTGCTTTGTTTTTGCTTTACTTCGCTCTGTGATTGGTCCAGAAAACTTGCGTCACTCTCTCAGCCAATCAGATACAAGACTAAAACCAATCACGGCTTGGTCGCACGCATTTTCCCGCACTTTCGGAAGTTTAGTTGGTTTTATTTTTAATTCTCAGTGGCTCTCAAATGTATTTCCTTTCTTCTGCTCGGCCTTTGTGATCACTTCGGTTGTGGTTTTGATGACACTCGATCGGAAGGTGTTCTTCTGATACACATGATTTGCGACTTCCGTCAGTGAACAATGATTTTTTTTTTCAATTAGCTAGCAGAGAGTATTTCGATTGCACGAATTAAACCAATAAAAAACGAATTGATTCTGACGGCCTATTCGGGCGAAGGCCACCATCCCAAGTAACTAATGAAAACTCAGCGTAGAAAAAGCAATCTGCCTAATAAGCGCAGGAAAATTCAAATGATGAAGTCTAGACTGTTTTCGGGTTGGCATCCGACGCAAGGGTGACGCAAGTTCGCAGGTTCTCAAGTCCGAACACGTACTTCAATGAAGCAAATACAAAGCTCTCCCAGATTATTTAACTGCTAAGTCGAAAATTGCCTCATATACACCGAATCGAAGGATGGCATCCAATTTGAATTGCCACTGTTCTGGACTCAATAGCCTCTCACACATGTGATAATCCTATTGTGTTTCCATGTGAAGACGAGGCTAGTGATCATGAGTCCAGAACAATGGCAATTCAAATTGGACACCATCTTACGATTCGGTGTATAGACTAGTACGTTTTAAATGACTTCCACTTGTTCTTCCACATGCTTTTATGTCCTCCGCACTTTCCGTACGTTTAAAGCAAAAGAAAATAATGAAAACAGAGCTTCTGGTGGTTTGCATAGTTGTTAAGTTGAACTTACTGTGAACCTTTTTGACCTCAGCAATTTCCAAGGAATCATTATTATTTTTTTAAATTTACATACGAAAAATCAGTTGCAGTTGTGTAGGCGTATTCTTTGAATTTATCGGCCGATCATCTAGTATTCCAGTGCACCAATTTTGCCGAAATACAAACATTTCGCTTTTTTTTTTTTTGGCTTCATTTTTAATACTCTCCATCATATCAATCTTCAATGAGTGCCCGACAGGGAACAGTGTGAGGGTGTATCTAAGGCTAGGGTCTTACTCCAGATTTGAAATACAGAGAAGGATTTTTACCTCGCTTCTGTTTTTACTGTCATTGTTTTGCCTGATTGGGCGAAAAGTTCACAGATAAGTTTGAGGTCATGTTTTTGTTTTGAAAGCATGATTTTTTTTAATATCTTGAGGAAGTCATATTCTCTGGGTTTCAGAACTGGTTAGCTCAATGGATAGAGCGCTGGACTGTTTGTGCGGGAGGTCGAGGGTTCGAGCCCCGGCCGGACCAACACTCAAGGTCTTAAAATAATTGAGAAGAATATGCTACCTTTCTATAACATCAAGAAATGGTTAGATATTCTATTCTTCTCGGATAGGGACGAATAAATGGAAGTCCCGTCTCCTGCAAGGTTAGGGGGTAGGAGACGTTAATTTCCCACGCACAAGATTACTGTGTGCTGGATGTCCTCCCCTGGGGTGGGATGGGTGGGTTTGTTGGAGCTTAAAACCTCGTAGGGGACCCATGTCCTATTGTTTCTGCTCCAGTACCTGGTACA